CCCCAAAACCCCAAAACCCCAAAACCCCAAAACCCCAAAACCCCAAAACCCCAAGATTCACAAGATATTGAAAACGTAGACAATATAACATCTCAGATAATGTCATTATGAAGCACTTTCTAACTGCTTATCATGCTCCATGTTGATCCCAAGGATGTAGAGTTTCTCTCGGATACTCATATTTGTCTGCTCAGGAATAAGAGAGTTCACAAGGGAAGATCTATTCTTAATACTATCACCTACTGAGTATTCACAAAATCCATCAATCCTTTCCTGCTTGCATGGAGTTCTGTTAGAGCTAAAGCAAATATTTGCACCATAACTTCTTGGTTCCAAGTCTTTTCTGGGTCATCCAAGGAACCTTATCCTGAATTTTGTGTGGTTTTGGCTTGTAATTCCTTTTTACAGTTGCGTAAGTAAATACCACTATATGAGCTGATAGTATTGAGCTCTTACCTATGAAGAAGAGAGCATAAAGAACTTTGTTAAGAACTAGAGCTCAGTAGAAAATAATCACCTTGAGGTTACTCCAATGTCCTTTGTTGTAGTGAGAGATTAGGAACAAGAAAAATCCAAGGTAGAACACCTTGTTAATCATCTCAGTTATGTTCTCAGAGATCTTCTGGAATGGCCTATAGTTGGAATGAGTGTTATGGCTTCAAGGGGTTTGTTGGATAACTCTGATCCTGAATGACTCTTACCTAGCAATACCGATGACCACTCAATGGATACAGTTCACTGTTAAATAGAAGCCAAGGAAAGTATAGCTCTCCATGAATCTCAACTCTATGCCATGTGAGTAATAAATTATTGGGACTTGTTGATGGTCATCAAGCACAAGATTACTCTCCTTACCAAGAACATCAAGGGTGAACTCTAGCTAGCCTAACTGGCTTGAGACCTTCAAACAGTTCTTTCTGTATAAATGTATTTTCAATCATCTTTGTACTTGTTCAAACCAATGTGGCTATGAATGACATTTAACGGACAAACTTTAAAGATTATGAAGCACGAGTAAATTCTGTAGAAATCGAATTATCTCAAGCACAAAAGTTAACCAACCCAAAAACACAGCACGTTTTGAGATGCTTGAGACTAAGGATGGTAATCTTACCAGAGACCTACTTTCAGTAACTTTTGCCAATTCCAGAGCCATTACTTCTCAATAACTTGATGAATTATAGGGGTTTTGGGGTTTTGGGGTTTTGGGG